AAAACACAGGGTCTCTGTGGGGAAGGGGAAAAATGGAGCATCCTGATGTGACTGTGGGGATGAGCGGGGATCCCAGTGGGCATGGGAACAAGTGAGGGTTACAGTGGAGACATGATGGGATCACTGTGGGATGGAGAAAATGAGGATCCCAGTGGGGACATGACCAGGTCCCTGTGGGGATGGGATGTGTTGAAGTCAGTGAAGGGACATGGCAGGAAGAGGTGGCTGCTGTGGGCACAGGGATGTGGCAGGGTCTTGGTGAGGATGGGACAGCCTGTGGGGATGTGGCAGAGCCCAGGACATCCCTTGTTAGGCCTGGGACATGCCATGTCCCTGTGGGGACCCTGCTAATGTGTGTGGGGACAAGGTGGGGTCTCTTTGGGGCCGGGGATGTGCCAGAGTCCCTCGGTTCGATGGGTGCTCACTGGGGAGGAAGCCAGCCCTGACAGAGAGAGAGAGGAACCTGGTTTTCTGACTTAGGGCATCCCAAGCCACAATCCTCCCCACACTGGGAGCCCAGTGAAGGAATGCCAGGTGGTCCTGAGGCTCCCAAGGCTTCTTGAGGCACCCTCCTGGGGCCAGCTGTACCCTGGCCAGGGCAGGGCGGGCTCAGGTTCCTGTGGAGAGCTGGCATGGGCTGGGATCCCCAAGGAGAGATACCAAGGGATGGGGATCCCCAAGGAGGGATGGAGATCCCCAAGGATTGATACCATGGGCTGGGATCCCCAAGTCAGGCTGGGGATCTCCAGGGAGGGATGGGGATCCCCAAGGAGAGATTCCATGGGCTGGGATCCCCAGGGAGAGATACCAAGGGATGGGGATCTCCAGGGAGGGATGGGGATCTCCAGGGAGGGATGCTGTGACTGGGATTCCCAAGGAAGGATGCCCTGGGTGAGGGGATCCACACAACACAGGGGCCACAGAGTTTTTTCCGGCTGCAAACTGTTGGATTGAGGTGAGGGCTCAGCTCGCACTGCCTCACCACCATGGCAGGGACGGGACAAGGCTGGCACTGGCAGAGGAGGAGGAGGAGGAGGTGGGAGGAGGAGGAGGGCAGCCTCTGCCTTAACCCCGCGGCTGCCGGAGCGAAGCGTGGCCACCCCAGCCCGCTTTTGTTCGCTTTCTGGTTTTGTTGTCGCACGCTCCGACTGAAATAGCCCAAATCCCTCATAGGAAGCTTCCCCCAGCCCGAGCCCTCGGCTGGTATCTCGCTCGGGCAGGTTTCATGACTCAGCAGCCCAGATGGAGCCGTCCCTCACAGCCCTCCGCTCCAAATCTGTTTATTGCTCCAGAGGCTGTTTTTCCAAGAACCTCGCTGCTTTATAGCAGCCAGAGCTCTCCCTTAAAACCCTGCCTCTCCAGCGAGGGCTCGCGTCACACTCCGCGCGGAGGTGGGCGAGGAACAAAAATAGACAAATTAAGAAAACCTCAAAAGGCCAAAAAAATGAGAATGTGAGGGGTTTGGCTCTCCAAGCTCGAGGTTTGCTTTGCCTCCGTGTTGCATCAGTTCTGCTGCCTTCCTCGGAGCTGCACCATCTCGGGGAGGGCAGGGATGAATCCCGGGTGATCGCGGGGTGATCACAGCTCTGTGAGACGATGAGAGACTGCTGAGCCCCCGGGGTGTCCCCTCGGGGTGTCCCCCCGGGGCTGGGGGCTCGCAGCCCTGGCAGGGCAGCCCGGGGGTGTTTATGGGCCACGGGCAGCGTAGGGAGAGCCGAGGATGGGTTTGAGTGGCAGCCTGTGGGATTCCCTGCGCAAGCATCCACACCCCTCATTCCCCCTCACCACTGCCGAATGAGGAAAAGGCTCTTGCACAGCTCCAGTTGCTCATCCTGGGCAGTTTTTAGCTACTCACACAACTGCAAAGGTGTTTCTAAATGCTGGTGCTTTTAACCTGCACTCTGCCAGGAGCTTTATGTGTGTTTGCATCTCTTGGAAAAGTTCTGAAGATTGCAGGGACAAGATGCTCCAAGTGGTGACCGATGGCACCCCATGGTGCCTTTGGGGGTGATGGCTTTGGAAGGGTCAGGATTGGGCTCTGGTGCTGATGGGTCAGGATATTCTGGGTGACTCTGTGAGCCCAGCTTGCCCAGCCCAGCCTGGCAGATGCCCCTGGCTGTGCTGGGGTGAGCTCTGCCCGGTGGGTCCCAGCACATTCCCGAAGGGTGCGCCTGACCACGGGCCATTAGCTGGTCATTAGGGCCATTATCTTAATCAGGGTGTTGCCCTGCTCCGTGCAGGGTGTGCTCAGGGTCACGCAGGCCTGCTGAGAGGGCTGCCATCCGTCCGTCCATCCATCCATCCATCCATCCATCCATCCATCCATCCATCCATCATCCATCCATCCATCCATCCATCCATCCATCATCCATCCATCCATCCATCCATCCATCCATCCATCCATCCATTCATCCCTCCCTCCATCATCTCTCCATCCATCCATCCATCCATAAATCCATCCATCCATCCATCCATCCATCCACCCACCCATCCACCCATGCAGATGTGGCCATGGAGAGCCTGTGGTGGGGCAGGCATTGCCCAACAGCTCCCACTCTGCTTGCCCCCATCTCTGTGCTCCTCATGCTCTTCCTACTCCCTGTTGGGTTCCACATGGTCCTGACCCAGCTCTGCCAGGTGTGACAGCACCCAGGTGTGAAGAGGCCCAGTGGGCTGGGGGCTGCAGGAATTGGTGTGCCTGGTGCTGGGCTCAGTCCCAGCATTATCCATCAGCTCCAGTCACAGGGAGGGCTGTGGGAATGTGCTTTCTCCAATAAATCCATGCTGGCTTTTCCTGGAAGGTCACCCAGCCAGTTTGCTGGAAGGCCAGAAATCACTATGGGGCACCACCCCATGGGTTTTTCCCTTTTCCCTTCTCACCAGGACGGCAGCCTGGGGTTTCTCTAGCCACAGCTCAAAAGCTGCTGCTCCGGCGTGGTGTTTTCTCCCAAGGAAAGGCGGTTTAGGTTTCATGGGCCCCTCCTGACGGGAATTTGAGCAGGCACTAAAAGTAGGGCTCCTTGTGTGCTGCTGTTATCGGGTTATCTGCTCCGTGGGGAGCAGGAGGGCGGGAGGAGCCCCCACCCCCTGGGCTGAGTCACAGCGGGCCCAGCGCTTGCTGCTGGGGTGACGGCAGCTGTGAGTCCCAAAAAAAGCCCCCAGCACTGATGCTTTAATGACAGGCGGATAACACAGCCCCGGGAAGACTCATTCCCTGCATAGCTCAGTGCTGTGACTAAGCTGGAGCAGCCGCAGCCTCACCCCGGCCCCGGTGTCACCAATCCTGCAGGTCCCAAAGCGCCCATCTCCAGCCTGGCTCCATATTTAATGTTAAATATTTAATGTTCCATGGCCACCTGAGGCTGTAATTAAGGACCTGCATCCCCCAGCTGTGAGTCTGGAGTGCAGTGAGGGCTGGTGTTCCCCAGCCCCGCAAACAAACCCCAGGATGGTTCCAGTGCCCTCGGCTCCTTTTCTGCCTTTGGGTCCAAGTCACCCTAAAGAAAGGCAGTTTGGTTGTTAACTGTTAAAAGACAAGTGGGAAAAACATTCCCAAGGTTTTACAGCTTACTGTGCTCTTTCCCTCGGCATCCCCAGTCTCAATTTCTGGACTTTAATCTCCAGCACGTTGTTTATTACTGCTGCTTTTCTTTAAACAGAAATATTTGCTAGGCAATGCAGTGGCTGCATCCCTACGGCCTCTGCTGGGGTTTATCTCCTCTCTCCTGGTGAGGAGCTGATGGATATAGATCCAGGCAGCTGTGTGACCTTTACAGTCTCACTCCGAGTCTGGGGACATGGATGTAAGATTGTTTCAAGTCATTTTGATTTTATTACAAACCAAAATACTTCACATTTTGTGTGAATGGCACCTCCTGTCCACAGGACAATTACTCTTGGGGAGCAAACAACAACCCAAATCTCAACACCTTAGCCAGGTACTGGTGCAGCTGGAGCTCAGTTGGGCTGTTCCAAGAGAGCCCAAACTTGGGAGCATCCAACACCCCACCTGCTCTGGCTCCTGGCTTTCCTGTGGGACATTATTCCAGCATTACACCCTAGCAGGAAGCTGTCTGACAAACAATTCACTGTTCAATAAACACACAAGCTGCACCTGCAGAGAGCCATCTTCATCATCCAAGTGACTGCCAAATCCCCACGTTTGGTGCTGGAGCCCCTGATCAGATGATGGCATGGGGGCTGTGTTTGAGCAGGGACTTGTGGCACCTCCTCAGGGGTGTCACTGGTAATGCTGAGGGAATAAAACCCCACAAACAGCAGCTTCTTCACTCCTTTTTTGTGGGAGAACATCAGGGTCCCGAGAAGCTTTTTATCCCTGTTCCCAAAAGCTGCAGTGGTCCCAAAACCTTCATTGGTTTGACCACAGCTTCCCAGAATTCCCACTCCTTCCTGGTCAAACCACCACACTTCCCAAGGAGCAGAAGGCTGAAATGGAGGGATTATATTTAACCTGACACCCCCAAATCACAGGGGGAGCAGGATCCAAGCTCCTTGGTTTGTGCAGAGCCATCCTGCTGGGATGTGTGCTAATACCACATAAAAGTAACAACTGTTGAGGAGCTTCCCTGCCACGTCCTTTCCCATCCTTTACCACAATCAAGTTAAAAGGACTGGACCACTGCAAGCTCTATTTTTACAGCCTCGGGCACGTGCTGTCGCCTCTGAGAGCTGCTGCTGATTTAGGGAGGAACACAAGGAGGGAGGGACTGCATCTCTGTACCCTGTGCTGCAAAAAGTGTGGCTGTGTCCTGATTCTTTGTCAGCAGCACACAGAGGTACCGTGGTGCTCTCTGCAGCCACGGGAGGTGTGAGGAATGAATGCCCATTCACGTTTAACATCAGCTTCTGTGGCACATGATCCTCCCCAGCGCTGCGAGGCAGAGCCATCCTGACAACAGCAGAGTCAAAAGGAACCCAGACAAATGTCAGCATTCATGCAATTTAACAAAGCTTCCCACTTGTTTTTACCAAAAAAAAAAAAAAAAAAAAGAAAAAAAAAAGCCCTGAAAGGTTTTAAACAAAAGGAAATGTCCTTCATTCAACACTGGTGAAATCTTTCAGCGCTGTCAAAGCGACTTCAAAGCTTCTCCACATCTGCCTGCTCCAGCCAAGCACTGCTGCCCATCCTCAGGCCTTTGTGATGTACCCTTCTCTGATCAGGAAGTCATAGATTTTCCTGGTTTTGTTCACATCAATCTTGATGAGGGCTCGAGCCTGCGCCAGTCTCAGGCCTCCCTGTTTGTTGCACTCGTTCACTAAAGCAGCTTTATACTCCAAATAGGCTCCAGGGACCAGCCTCACCATCTGACAGAGCTGCAAGACAAAAGGTGAAGTTAATAAACACCAACACTTGCCGTGTTCTCCCATTCCCAGAGCCCTGCTGGGGGAGGAGCACAGGGAATGTTTTCCTGAGAACGCTTGCAGCGTTTCCTTGCACAGGGCAGGCACACGGGAATGCTGTTGGCATCCACAGGTAGGGAGGGGAGGAGCCTGCTGGCTGCTGCATTCACAAACACTCCTGATGGAAAATAAAGGAGGAGGATGAGAGCAAGGCCTGGGCTGGCAGGAGCGCGGCTCTGAGCGTGCCCTGTGTGGGCGCTGCTCCTTCCCAAGCCCGGGAAGCACACATGCCACACTTGGAAGCAGCAACTGGGCTGGCTGGGAGCCAGGGAGGGCATCTGGCTGCTAATCCCCTGCAGACTCGGGCTCTAATACCTTCCACAAAAGCAGCTCCCTCTCCACAAGTCTGGCGTGGAGGCTGTGCAGGGAAGGCATTCCGTGGTTGGAAGTTTGGTGAGGAATGGCTGTGCACAGCCCCTGAGCTGTTTGGCTGCACAGCTCCTGCTCAGCTCCCAAATTCCAGCTGCCTTCCAGGAGCACGGCATTGCTCCTGCTGCACAAACTGTCTGTCTCCTCCCTTTAATAAGGAAATGCTTCATGCTCATTCCTCACGGATAGGAAATTGCAGAATTCCTCAGCCCTCAGACTCTCTGTCTCAGCTGACCAGGAAATCAGATTCCGCACACACACTGATGTCCTGCCACCATTATTCCCGTGCTGAATGGAGCAGAAATGCCAATTCCACCAAAGCCAGGAGCTGATTCCCAGTGCTGCCACTGCAGCCAAGGGAAACACGCACAGAGGGGAGGCTGAGGTACAGCTGTGCTTCCTGGGCACTGCAACCTGCCTGGGGCAGCCTAAGGACACCTCAGGGCTTCTATGAAGAAAAAATAATCTCTTATTTCAGTATTGTGCAGTGAGTTAGAGGAAGGGCCTGCACTGGGCTGAAAAACAACCAGTGTTCATTAAGAAAAATGAACCCCTGTGCTCAGCCCAGCCTCAGAGAGCAGGCAGGGAGATGGATGTGGCAACAGCACCAAATATCACCCTGGTGCTCTGCTCCTTTCTCTGCTAAATCAGCCACTTTGTGCTGCGTGTGCAGCACAGGAGAGCAACTGGAAACCTGAATGGTTTCTGTGAGAAAGGAAGAGCAGCCAGGCCCTGTGACAGGTGACATTCACAGCTCCCCAGGCACGCTGTGGAGACACAGATGATGGAGACGACCCTTCCATCCTCTCCTCACCTCCTTCTCCTTCTCGTTGAGCTTCTCGGTGCCCGGCAGGCCGGTGAGGTTCAGCGGTGGGGCACTCCTTCTGCCTGGGGATGGGGAGGAAAAGCTCCATCAGAAAAGCCCCATCAGAAAAGCCCCATCAGAAAAGCCCTGTAAGAACCAGAGCAGCCCAGGCCCTGCCAGGGAGGCACTCCAACCCAGCTGGAGCCAGGTGTTTACAGACAGGGTTAGTCAGGGCTCAGCAGAAAGCTCTGCTGATGCCACAAAAGGTTTGGTTTTGCAATTTGAAGCTCTGTGGATGTTGCATGAGACTCGTGAGCTGTTGGTTTTTGGGAGGAACTGCAGGACAAAAGCTCTGTGTCAGATTGGCATCAGGCATGGCTCAGCCCAGCTGACTGTCCCACTGCAGGGAGGGTGTGCCAGGTGCGCTGAAACCAGCACCTTGTAAGGATGATGAGACTTTTTATTGCTGTGATTAAGCCAATTTCTCTCTGGCATTACTGACAGTTTCATGAGGCACAGTTTTCTTCAAATGCCTTTAAATACCATGCAGGTATTGCAAGGCAGATTTGTTTTGCAATTCCCTGTTTGGGCATTGATTTTTTTGTCTGTTAGGATGAACAGTTCTGAAGGAATATTTATCACAAGCTCATCTGGTGTTTATCACTTTCACTATTGTTTCTATATTATTATATAAACAGCAGTTATAAGTTATTGTTTATTTTGCTGTTACAGTGCATAGCCTAACTTTCACAAGGGCTGCCTGCTTGCAGACAGCTTTTTTCTTTAATAGTTGTTTGGGTTTTTTTTTTTTCCAACTTGCAGATATCAGGACAAAGTTTGGGTTATTTATTCACATTGAAAAAAGTCTCTCACCCTGTGCTGTGGGCTGCATATTTAGCACCGTTAGAGATAGGTGTCTATCCCAGGATAACTCCCCAAATCTGGTGAAGTGATGAGACCTTGGGAAATGTGCAAAATAAATTTGTTTTTCCCAAGGACGCTGCCCTGGCCAGGTCCTGCCCTGGCACTGGGAAGTGTCTGTGTCTCTGGGCATCTGCAGGAACAGAAGGGATCTGGCTGGGTGTGAGGAGCTGAGCAGAGGGAGCTGGGGACTGGGGAGAAGCTGCAGTGTGAGTCTGTGGGAGGTGTAGAGGAAGTTATTTCTCAGCACTGCTCCCCCTTCCCATGGCATGGGGCCACTGTGCTAGGAGGGACATGACAGAATTCAGTTTTACTCTTTTATAAACCAGAAAATACCACACACACACACAAACTACATGAAATAAAACATATCAAGGCTGCAAAGTCAAGAGCTCAGAATCTAGAAGTGAAGCGTTAATTTGCCCTCTTGTATATTCAGAGTGATGCAGCCTTTAATTAGAGCCACGTGGCAGCTCTTCCCCAGCATCCCTGGGCAGGATGTTTGCTTCATTAGCAGCTCTGTGGTATTCTGTTTGGGTTTTGTTCCACATGTGATGCTGCTTGTAAACACGGTGAGCTATCACACTCCACAGGCAGCACAGTCCCCTCCATGGGACACTGCATCCCTGACTAACAGGGAAGTTCATCCCCATCCCAGACCTTCAGCTGGAAGACGCTGTCCTCCCCTCACGGACTCTGAGATACACAAAGCTGGTTTTTAATCCAAAACACCAGATCTTGGCAATCACCAAACAGGTTCAGGACAGTCTGGAGTGCCCTGACTCACTGCTTGGCATCCTGACCCAAATCTACCAGGAGGAAATGAGGGAGAACATATAAACCCAGTGTCCACCTCTGAGAGTTTCATTCAAGTGGTTTAACAGCATCCCCATAAAAAACTGGGTGTAGGGACAGAGCCAAAGCCATTTTGCCCGGCAACATTTAACAACCTCATAGTAAAGCTTTATCCCAGTCTCAGTCACCCCATGACCTCAACAAATGGGATGGGAATTTATTTATGAGGACCTTGACTCACCCCTGAATCTGTCCTGACTGGCACTGAAAGAAGATGGGCTCCTCTTGGTGGAAAAACCCTGATTTGTGCTTACAGACTGTGAAAAATCTTTTGTTTCCTGCCTTGCTAATGTAGCTTTAGGATGGGTTTTGACCTCTAGTCAGAAAAATCTGGAAATTCAGCAAAAAATCCTGCAGGATATGTGAGTGGAATGACTTGCAGATTGATGTGATGTTGACTTAAGCAGTGCTTAACCATGAGGCCTGAGGACTGACACTTTGGCACTCAAGAGAAAGAGTCAGAAAAGGCTGTCAGAGAAATAATACTGTTTTTTGGCAGACACCATCTAACACTTACCTGTAGTTGAAGGAACTGGTACCGTGGGAGTCAGGCCAGAATCACTGCAAAGAAAGGAAATGTTCAAATTGCCTTCATGTTTTTTAAAGCATAACTGCATGTGTTGGCCCTGAAATTGCTTCTTCCACAACTTGTAATAATTATACAATTCAACTTGCATAACCCAGGCCCTGACTAGGAGTCAACAGGATTTATAAATATTTAGTGTTCCCACATTGACAAATATGTGTGGAACCTGTTAAAAAACCCAACAAAGAAACGTGGAGGGGCACACAATTAAAAATGCAGTGGAGATTGAGTGGGGAAATTCCAAACCATCTCCTGCACACAGGATGCACTTCCTTTACGTTTGCTCCTTAAATCCAAGTGCTTGTGCAGGGTGATGACACATTAATAATGCTGCTACATCTAAAATCATCTGAAATATTTCAGGCATCAGCTGTACCCTCATTAATATCCATAAAGAGCTCATTTCCCTCTGTGACTTTATGAACAGCAGCTCAGTTCCTGAAATCTAAATTTGAGAAAACGGAGGGGTTGAGTCCCTCTTTTGCCTGAACTCAACAAGCACTATTGCTGTCACCCACCCTTCTGCCCTTCTCAATTCTGCAGGCTGCTCCCACCTTGATAAACTGGGAATGGATTTGTGACTATCAGGCAGGAAAATGTGTTGGATGCAAAATGAACCAAGAACCCCAGGAAGGTTTGGGGTGGAAGGGACCCTGAAGCTCATCGCTCCCAGGGCAGGGACATCTCCCAATGGAACAAGCTGCCCCCCAAACCCCTGGCAGCTGGATGGGGCAGTGCCAGGCTGGACCAGGCTCCCTGGGCAGTGCTTACATGTCTGCCTGGTGGCTGAGCCACTGCTGGCAGGAGCAGTTTGGGTTGGGAGGGACCCCGAAGCTCATCGCTCCCAGGGCAGGGACATCTCCCAATGGAACAGGCTGCCCCCCAAGCCCCTGGCAGCAGGATGGGGCAGTGCCAGGCTCCCTGGGCACCCTGTGGCAGTGCTTACATGTCTGCCTGGCGGCTGAGCCACTGCTGGCAGGCGCTGCTGTCCTGGATGTACTGCAGCACCTCCGAGAGCATCGTGCGCTTCAGCCGCTCCTCGTCCCGGCTCTTCTTCAGGTGCTCGTAGGTCCGGGCACCTGTGGCACACACACAGCCTGCCCTCACCACCTGCCTCATCCAAAAACTCTCCAGGCTGGCTTGCCCCTGCCTCAGGGGATTTTGGGAAGGTCAGGACCCTGCCACCCCCAAAACACAAGGCTTGTCCCTATTCAGGTGATTTTGGGAAGGTTTCTGCCCCCAGCCCAGCCTCTGCTGTTCCCCCTTGTGGTGACCACTTGGCACCAGAAGGGATCAGATCCCACCCTGCACCCTTCCCCCTGTTAATTTCAGGCCAAAACCAAACAAAAAGAGCTCCCATGATCCAATTCCAGGATAAAGCAGGGTATTTTGTTATGTGGAGGTCTTAGGCCTCTCTCCAGATACCACAGGTGTCGACAGGCAGTGAAAGTGTCCCAAGATAAAGCCCTGAGACCACTGTGCCATGACACAAATATTTTAAATGAAGCTTTTGCAAAGTGCTGCCCAGAGCAGAGCTGTGTTCGACACTGATTTCCACACTGAAGGCTCAGATCACTCTAAACCAGCCCAGCTGGACTGTGCATCATTGCTGAAGCCTTGCTCAGCCCCAGAGCCTCTCTGAGCTAAGTGCCTTTTTATTCAACACATCCTGGATGTTGTAAAATCATCCTTCCCTTCCTTGATGGATGGGAATGGGCTGAATAATGCATCAGGTACTTACTGCAGAAATTGGTGATTCCTGCTGCTCTGTATTCCTGCAGTCTCTTTATTTCCCTGCGCAGCTCAAATTCCACTGTGGGACCCCACGAGGTGGCAGGAGGGAAAACCAAAAAAGCAAAAGTGGGTCAGTGGGGTGGACTGGAAATGTGGCTCTTTGTTATCTGCCTGCCCAGCTCAGCTCTGAGCACACAAACCACAGCCAGGGTTACCCTCCCTCCACAGGATCTCAATATCTCTGTGTCCCCATGCTCCTTGGTCACAGATTGCAGCTGGTTTCTAGAATTTCTGTGCTCTGAAAAGGCATTTTCTCTTCATGCTTTGATAGTCCCTTTGCCATACCCTAGACAAGGCAATAACAATACTGTGGGATTTCTAGAAGGCATTTCAATAGCTTTGAGGAACTGCTCCAGCCAGGCTCCTTATACATCAAATATTCTCTTGGAACTATGATTTTCCAGGCTGGACCTTCCAAAATTTTTCCTTGCAGACAATTTTTTTCCTGCAGTCAGGAAGATGAAATTATGAAATGTTTCTTTTGCTCAGAGATATTTCCTGTCTGTTGCTTTCATCAGCTGCGTTCCAGCACTGCTCAGCTTTACAGGGAACAAGTTTCTTTGTGAATTTATTTCCTGCTGCTGCTCAGGAGACCTGGGTAGTGCCTGTACCTCACTGCCAGGTTCACCTGAGGATCTGCAGCCACTACAACAACAAAACTTGCAGGACCCATGACTTTGCAGGATCATGCTTTTGGTATTTCACACTGGCTGTCCTGAAAACACGGGCACAACTTGGTAAATGCTTTGTTCTTTCTAATGAGCAACAACTGTCCCAGTTTAAGTCACAGCATGAAGCAGGATGTGGTGACTGGGACTGGAATCTGCCTAAATGCAGGCTATGGGATGATTCAGGGATGGAACAATGCCTCTCCCCTAAGGTAAGGACATAATGACCACTGCACTATGTAATTATGTGACATTAAGTACTTTAACGTGTGTCTTTCAAAGAATTCACTCTGCTGCCAGCTCCCAATCTCTCCACACAGACATAATATAGGGATTTTATTCTTCCCCTGATACAGAGTCCCAGTAAATAAACAGAGCTCTTCAGATAAAAAAATATTACCTCTCCCACATGACCAGAATGTTCAGTCAGCTGCAAACTCAAACAAAGAGCTGGGACACAGTTTAGTGGAAAAACCCCACTGGCTGCTCACTGAACACATCAAACCACAGATGCATTTGCTTTCCTGAGGTGGTTAGATGGGGAGGAGGAGGAGGAGGAGGAGGAGGAGGAAGAGCACCTCCTGCCCCAGCACAGGCTGCAGCCCCCTGACTCACGTGCGTGGCTCTCGATGAACTTGTCGTGCTCCAGGGGCCCCAGGATGCGCGCAAACCTCCTCATGGTCTCGTAGAGCTCCTGCACCTCCTTGGGGTAACGCCTTTCCAGGACTGCAGGGACAAAGGGCCACGTGTCACCACCCCTGCTGTCAGGGGACAGCACCTCTGGGGGCTGCTGGGAGCCCCAGCCCCAGCACTGCCCAAAAATCCTCATTTGGGCCTTTTTGGTGCCATAGATACAAACGGCTGAGTTAAAAGCAACAGAAGTTACAGCCCTTAAAGTCCTTAAGGACAAAGGGTGATATTTAAATGTTGCTCAGTCATTTCTCACAAGAGTGAGGTGCACTTGAAAGGCCCGGGTTTCACCTTGCCCCTTTCCCCACTCAGCAGAGCCCAAATGCTTCTCAAGAGCAATTTTGAGGCAAGAATAAAACACTGGGCTGGGAGTAGTTAGGACCAGACAGCTGGAAACAGCTGGGGCAGGAAATCTGCTGGAATTTAGAACATCTGAATATGTTCCAGTATGAACAAACCACACTGGTGACCTGGAAGTGGTGAATGTGTGAAGCTTTGCCACTTTGAAGTCACGCAGTTACACCTGATACTCACTCTGAAATTTTCTGAGGTTGATCAGGCCATGATCTCTTATAATTCTGGAAATGAAAGAAAATGATATTAATAAAGGCCATTACTCCTGCATTGCCTCACAAACACAAAGGCTTCAGAAGAAACTTTGATTTAGACCATCAGAGGAGTCTGAAACTAAACATGAATGAAATTTCCATAAGCCCTGGGCCGGCTGGAATGGAAACATGATGCAGTGTGTCTTTAATCAGGGTAAATTCTGGGCAGTGGTGTGCATTAGCACTGAGCACAAAGGGAGCTGCAATCACTTTAAAGGTTGGAAATTGCTTCTTTAGGCACACATTTCACATCCACAGCATCTTATAACTTGTCTTTCCAAAATCAGAGGTAATGAATGCCTCATGAACATCATTCCCAGCCTCAGAGAGAGACAAACTTCCCTCTGCTAAAGCACAGGGCAGAGCTGGCTGTGAATGCCCCCACTGGCACAGGAGAAAGCATTTTTCCATGGCAGCCTGGGTTTTAAGGAGGTGATGGAGGTAACTCTGGGCTTGAGCTGCTCCTGCTGGGATCAGGGGAGGAGCAGAGGGACAGAGGTGCCTGACAAATCCCTTTGTGCTGGGGTGAGCAGTGCCACGTGCTCATTGCTCTGTGGTGACTCCACTGTGGAAAATAAAATACCACAGAGCTGGGCTGGCACTGGCAGCCCAGAGCCTGCCCTGTAAAATCCATGACATTTCCTCTGCTGGGCACAGAACCTTCCTGTCCCGTGCAGAGTCACCTTTCTGACAGTGGCAGCAGTGATTTTGGGGCATTTTCCACATTTCTGTCCCATCCTGCTGCTGGAACTTCACAAAACCTGACACTGGTGTAACCACAAGAGTTATGGAGAGCCCTGCAGCACTTTCCTTCAGCATGACAAGATGGATCATCATGGAAATTACACCACATAAATGCTTTTTATTTATGAATGACGAAGAACCAGGTCAATCCTTGCTGTCACTCAGCAGAACTGTGGAGTTTTATGAGAAGGACTGGAGCAGCCTCACTTCAAATCACTAATCCTTCCACTATGGACTAATCCAGCAAGATATAATTTTAAATATTGAACAAAGTACTTCAAAGTTATAATAAAACTTAATTTAATTAATAGATTGAGTCATTCCAGAGCACTGTCAAATGAGTTGAATAAATTATTCAAGCCCACGTCAGCAATTGAGTTATCTTCAGTGTGGAAAACTAACTTGGGGGCCACTAGGATTTAAAAATAATGATGCAAATATTTCTGGGGGAAAAGTGGGGGTCCAGCAATCAGTCACAGTCTGGCAGGATTTTTCTGCAGCAGGAAATTCATGGTGTGTAATCCATCAGCATTGCACAGGGCAGGGAACACACAGTGACTGCTTCAAAACTCACTTTTTCCGTCTCTGTCTCTCCTTTAACCTGGAATGATAGATATCTACAACTGCAATCTTCAGAGCTGCAAAACACACAGATTAAAGAATTCATCAGCAATCGCTGCAGGAGGCTGGATTCCAAGCCTTTATGTTCACATTAGGCAGAAATGGTTTAAAAATCCTGAGGCAGTTTCACAGGGGCATCAGCTCAGCGCAGCCCTGGCTACCTGGGGAAGGTTTCCTTTGCTTCCTCCTGCCAAATCCATCCCTGTAAACACACTCATGTCAACATGAACCTGGGCAGCTCTGGGAACTCCTCTCTCCTCCTTCTTGGGCTGTTCTGCCATCTGCAAATATTTGTTCCCTCGTACATGCAATAGCCAATATTCCCTCTGCTGAGGTGTCATCCCTGGGCACAGGTGTTTGCCCAGAACAGGGAACCCCAAAAAGCAGACACAGCTCTCACTGTGAGGGCTCACAGCAGCCTTTGCTGCAGTTGTTAAAGACATCTGGAAAGTTCCAGCTTGTTAACTTCCAAACTTACCTGTCTGCCAGGAGAACAAAGCACGGCTCAGGACAATGTGAGGAAGCCCAGGAAAAAGCCATGCTCATTAGGAACCACATCCTTCCCAAATCCAAACCTGCCTGAGCCACTCACACAGCCTGCAGCTCCTTTCTCCTGCAGCCATTAGCTTAATAAACTTTTTTTTGGGTAAATTCTTGAAAGACAAGATAAAGAAACACCTATCACCTTCCCTTCCCTTGCTCTGTTGGATAACACACAAATTCTAGGTCATTAAATGAGTGTAGAGGAGACTGATTTTTAATTTTTTTATAATTAACGTTAATCATTTCCTCTCAGAAGGAAGAGGCTCAAGGCTTGGCAGTGGTTTGGAGGCTGGGACACAACAAGCAGATTTTGGAAAGAGGGGAACTGGGGTGGCCCAAGGGGGGCAGAACCCAGGATTTCTTTCTCTCTGTAGTTACACAAAAAGAGCAAAACTGATAGTGGCAGTTTATTGATTGTACTCTGGGATTAATAATTAATAATGCAATTAAGAAGCGTGGTTCTGTGTCTATCTGAAATATGTATGTAGGTGTAAACAGCAGGAAGCCCCAGCCTGTGGGAAATGCATCCCTGCATCCCTCTGGGTAATCAAATTTCATACAGACAGGGACAAAGCCCAGAGGCTGTGGGGATTCAGGAGCTTGATCCAACAAAAAACCCTTCAGCTTGTCCCAAATTGCTCTGACATTAATCCAGGAGTAAAGGATTCTGTATGAGCTAGGAGGGGTGCTGCGACATTCCTCCTTGTTTTTCCAAATTTCTTGCATTTTCCAGCATCATTGTGTATTTTCACAGCGAGGGATTTAAGTTTCCTAATTTAAGAACAAGCAGAGACAGCAAATTCTCCTTAGTACTAAAATGTGGGGATGAGAAATTGGGAATGCAGCAAGTTAAACATGAATGAAATCCATTAGGAAGGGCTGGAATTGGAGCCAATTTACAGAAAATATTTTTGTAGTTTTGAAACCCTCTGCAAGCTCAGCCAACTTGTTATTTTCTGGGGTTTGTGTGGGCAGAACTTAATAAGTACATGCAGAAACTGCACTGGAGAACCTCTATAAATATCACAAGCAATTATGCACCTCTAACCATGGAGTTTTGATGCTTTCACCTGGGTGCACAATATTCTAAAGCAATGATGATCAGCTGGGGAGAGGGAGGAACAAATGAAAGGAAAAAATGGAGTTTCTGCTCGCAGAGAAACGAGCATTTCTGCCACAAGCCCTTCTGGAGGGGCTTTTGTTTTTAAGATCCAGACTCAGGCAGGACATTGCCAAGGGTGGAATGCATGAATGGCTCTGAGTGCTCCAGTGCCCCTCAGAGCATGGAAATGAGCAGGAGATGCTGGGGGAATGGCAATGACCTGCAGGGCTCTGTTTGTGCTGCTGGGAGACAACCCGGGCTGGCCCCGTGCTCAGCGCCCACTCTGGCCTCTGATAAGGCTCTGATAAGGCTCTGAAGGTTCCACTGATAGGCAGCAATTCAAGGTTTCTTCCTCCATTCAAAAAAACCCACAAAAACCCCAAATATTTTGGTTTCTCCAGAGTGTGCCCAAAACAGTTCCTTTGCTTTTCATTCCTGTCCAGCCTCACGGGGTGTGCAGGGAAGTTTGTGGAACACCCCTGGGTGAGAGCTTTGCTCCATGGGGAGAACCTGCCTTGGCAGGAGAGGCACAGACAAGGGGGAGAATGCAAATAATCCCAGTGACAACCAGTGTGGGATGGGTTGGGGACGAGCTGAGGGGCTGCAGCCCAAATTCAGGCACTGGAGCACAGCAGGACCATGGCAAAGAGTTAAATCTGCTTTTTTGGGGCACGGCAGGGCTTGCACAGCACAGCAAACTCTGCCAGGCAGGACATGGAGCTGCAGCTCAACTTCACATTCCCCTGCCACTTGCAGCCCGTTTCCACTCACTTCTAAATCTGTGGTTTCAGCAATTACTTTGCAGTGTTAGAAGTGAAAAAATCATTTACATGAGAAGGGGGGGGGAAAGCTGGGAAAAAAGATAAATTACCAACGTTCTAATTCAGCCTGATGAAAACTTGTAGTTCATGAAATATTCAAGCACTGTGGGCTGAATTAGGCTTGTAACTGGTTGGTGCTTTTGATCTGTCCATTATGTTTTTGTGTAACTGCAATATGAATTTGCATGCCCTCACTGTACTGCCAGCACTGAACAAAAGGGAACAATTCCAGAATTTAACTGAAATATCAGAGATTTCATACAAATTTTTGCCAAGAAGTGGCAGAATGATGTCTGTGACCTCCTGTGAGGTACAGGTTCTGTGATCCTCATAAAAGCTGCCTGGGAGCCTTCCCACCTTGCAATAAGTAGCATTTTCTTGTGGGAATACCAAGAACTTGTTTAGAGTGACACAGGGAAATCTGATAGATAAAATACATGAGATAAAGCTTTAAATATAAATATCATATAAAAGATATACATCAGAAAATACATCAAGCAGCTCAGATCCAGAACTTTTTAAAAACTAATTTTTACAAAATATTACAGAAAGCAGTGTGGGAGAAGGGGAAGAAGGGAGAATTCCTCTGCAGTGGAAGCACAAATATTCCTGTGGGATGTGCAGCACCGAGCTCTGGTGCACCAAGAGCAGGAAAGAGAGAGCACAGGAATTGCACTGGGGTGTCCCAGGACTCAGCCTGACTTGCAGAAAATGCAATATAAAAGTCATTTTCAAAAGTTAATCTTGAACCCAGTGAGGTTTAACAGGAAAACAAACTGAGGATTTTCCTCCCCACCTGAGCCTGAGGCTGTGAGGCCTCGTTTGGGTTTCTCTGGGCTATGAAATGGGTTCAATCCCATTTTTGTCCCATTTTTGTCCCATTTTCACACTCACCCAGGCTGTCCCACAGCCTATTCCCAAGCACAAAGCTCCTAAACCACCCCTGGCCCTCAACAGCCCCATGTTGAGCATTTCCTGCCCCTGAGCTGCAAAATTCTGCCAAGCAAAGTGGGCAGCTCCAAACCTGCAGCACAGCGAGCATGAGGCTCCTGCCTTTTGCTGTATTAAATACCAGGGGTGAAAGCTCTCACTCCAAATTCTTCAGAAAAGCATTCCTGCTCTCCCCAAGGGAAGGAAAGAAGCTGGCTGGGCCCTGGGGCTCATTCTGGCCATTTCACTCCCACAGGGGCACATCTGGGGAGGCAATGCCAGAGTTGGTGGGCTCAGAGACCCCAAGTGCAGCTGGCCAGGCTCTGCCAGGCTCTCTGCACACTGCAAACCCCTGCCAGCCCTTCCCAAACTCTGCAGGCAGCCGAGGGATGGAGCAGAGCACACCCAATGAAATTACCCTGTGAAAATATTGCACAGGAGGGGGGAAGTACTTTTTCACACAACAGGTAATTGAATTGCGAGCTCCTAATTGGATTGTGGCAGTGCCTGGTGCAGGATGTGCAGCAGCACAGGCAGATCCAGCTCCTGCAGGATGGGGGCTGCCAGGAGGGCAGTGCTGCACAGCCCCCTTGGCTGAAGGTGAATCTGTCATTAATGGGCAGAAATAGGAGATTATTCTGCTTTTTCAGCTCACCAGCACCCAGCACAGGATGAAACACAGAGAGCTGGCAGGAGGAGTCCCTGCCATGGCCTCCAGCCAGTTTCCCCTCAATAGAAGCTGAAAGGGAGAGGCTGACACAGGACCCAGGAGCTGCCCTGAGCCAGGGCAGTTTGCATTCCCGAAGCTCCTGCGTGCACTGCTCCACTCCAAACTGGCTTTTTTCACTTTGCCAAGCCTGTCTGTACGTAACAGGGATTTGTCTGTCTCCAAGGGATGCAGAGGCTTTAGCTCAGAACTGCCTGACACAGATGGCAGAGTTCTGAGGCACAAACACAGGGCTCCTAAAGCCTGGGTGTACTCACAAACGTGGGGAAATGCAGGATCTTCTCCTCTCTGTGGATTAAAATGTCACTTCAGTAATTCCTGTTACTGCATGTGATTAAGGCAGAAACTCAGAGCAGGAACTGGGCTCATCAAATCATCTCCACAATAAAAGGAAGTTGTCACACACAGCTGATGCTACTCTAACTCAGGGCATGCTCAACATATGAGAAATCACAGAGCTTTGAGTCCAACACTTTTAATGTGTTTCACATACACTGCACACCTCCCTGCTGCCTGCATTAACACCCACCTGATAGATTTAATGCATTAAAAACCCAAACATGAAACCCCATACATTAAATGTGTATGCTCCCGTTTAAAGTGTGTGCAGAAAGGAATGAAAAGCTGCATCTGAAAGAGTTTCAGCCTGGGTACAAAAATATGGCACTTACCATGCAAAATGTCTGAATCATCTTCCACAAAATCAATATCTCTCAAATCCCACTCAGCATAGTTGTCAAACTCCTGTGCAGAGGTGATTAACACAGGGTCACTAACGAGCATAAAGCATTGCCCCAGGTTTCAGAACAGGCTGGAGGAGTGGGGACAGAGATGTTCACTCAGACATGGGGCACAGGATGGGACAGAGATGGTCACTCACACACAGGGCACGAGGCTCCATCCAAACAAACAGCCCAGGGCAGCTTTGCCTGGGGGAAATGTGTAAATGCTCCCCCATGGCTGCGGCTGGAGCAGGATGTTGTGACAGGACACAGGAATTAGCCAGCTCATGGGATGGAAATCAGGATGCCCTGAGCTGGAAGGGACTCACAAACATCCCCAAGCCCAACTCCTGGCCTGGCTCAGGACACCCCCATGTGCCTGAGAGCCCTGGCTGGGATTTTGGGGTGCTGATCCTGCTCAGAGACCCAAACCCGAGGCCCTGTGGGGCTGAACTGGTTCCTGCATGGACAGGAGCAGGAATGGGGCCTGCTCCATGCCCAAAGCTGATCTCCCAGTGATGTGTGGAGCAGGGAGTGTGCTCCCCTCAGGCAGGGACAGTGCTGGAGCTGGTCCTTAGGCCCAGCAGCCAATCCCAGTGCCCAGCAGAGCCACCTGGATGGACAGATGGACAGATGGACAGCCGGACATCTGGCGGCAGCAGCAGGGCCTGCAGCCTGTGCTCCTGCCCTGCCTCTGCAGGCCACCAGCGCCACCTCGGGCACCAAAGGCCTCATTAACACAGGGCTTTAATTACCAACATCTCACCTCGGGAGGGAGGATCAGAGAGCAGCTCCTTACAGGAGGATAAAATAAATGTAAAATTAAACGGGAGGAGAGTGTTTCTTACCTCAACAAAGTCAGCTCTGGCTGGCATGTAGCCAGCCATGTCCCTGGAGAGCAAGGAGTCAAAGGTGGGCCGTGGGGGATCATCAGCAGCTGCCAAAAACAAAAGGTTTCCAGCTGTTGAGTGGGGCTTGGGAATCTTCTTTTAAGGATCTGTAAATAGGTGTTTATTTTGCAGGAAAAGTGGGAATAATTAGCTGAAGAAAAATACCCTGATTGGGCTTTTATTCGGTGTTCTAGTCAGAAAAGAAAGAGTTCATCCAGAGAAAAATGCAGCAATCTGAGATCTCCATAGTATTCTCAAGAGTCAGACACAAATTCAAGGTAATAAACAGGTAATAAAATGTAAACTTTGCATTTTGGAGCTCAGCATCCCCCTGTAAAGCCCTGCACACCCCTGGGACTCAGCGTGCAGGCTCCTTTAGTTAATAACACCAGGAGTGTTAAATCTGCCTCCTTCTGGGGGCCATTGGCAGGGCTGCAATGAGAGGCAGAGAACTCCCAGTTTTTACAGCCCTTCCCAGCTGAGGAGCTCGGTGTTTCACAGACAAGACCAGCCTGGGGCTCACGGAGCACTCAGGCAGCAGCTTTGTGTGTCCCAGGGCACTGATAAAGCAGGCTGAGGCACAGGGCACATAAAAATATCAATAACAGCCAGGGACACAACCAAAACTGCCCAGTTCCCACTGCTCAGCTCCAACCACTTCAGTGGGAAATGTAAAGTGCCTGGCCCAGGGGGGCTGGGGAGCTCTGCCATGAGCAGCTGCCAGACCGGGGGAATGCTAAAGATGTGAAATGCAAGGAAAACTGAGAATTTGTGAACTTGCTGCAGACTTTTTTAACAGGCAGCTTTCAAGGGAGAGGTGTGAAATCAGCATAGCTGAAAGGAGTGATTTTCTGGCAAATTGAATCAGCAGGCAGGCCTGGGACAGGGTGTGTGCACAGAAATGTGCACGGGAGCAGGGGGAATCCTGCAAGGCAGAAACCCCTGCTCAGCTCCCTTTGCTGGGCAGGGTGAGAACCACACTGGGATCTGTGCTGAGGGACACACTTGGAGGAGCTTTGGGGTGGGATAAAACACCCAAAACCTCTGCTGGGGTGGTTTCTGTGTTGTGGAGAATCTTCTGCTTGTGAGACCCTGATGATTGTGCCACACAAAGGAGCTTTGGGGTGGGATAAAACACCCAAAACCTCTGCTGGGGTGGTTTCTGTGTTGTGTAGGATTTCTGCGTTGTGGAGGAACTTCTGCTTTTGAAACCCTGACGTTTGTGCCAGAGCCTGTTTCCTGCCTTGCCCATGGAGCTGGCAGCCAGGAATCCATGCAGTGTGAAGGGAACCCAGCTGCTGAAACCCCCCAGAGCAGCTCCCAGCCCAGGTTATCCCCTGGGAATGAGGGCACACAGGCCTGGGGTACTCACAGTGGAAGGGAATGGCTGTCTCGTGGTGCTGAGCCTCCTCTGCCTGCCTCAGCTTCAGCAGCGTGGAGGCAAACAGGGGGTTGTTGATGAAGTGTTTCATGTAGTGCTTCTCACACTCCTCCTTGGACTTGGTGCACATCTGGTTGGCCACGTCCTGCCTGGGGTGGGGAGAGGGGGAGGCTTGGTGTGAGCAACACAGAAATGTTGTTTCTTTAAAAATTTCTCCAGTAGGAAAAGGTGATTTTGGACGAGAGATTGGTTGTGTTCAGAGAGCTGGCCTGTGATGGTGCCTGGACTCACACTCTCAGCACCAACACTCACATGTTGGTGCCAGGGAACATTTTGGGGAGCCCATGAACAATGAAATTCACTGATTTCATATGGGAAAACCTCTGGCTGATGGAATGTGCCTCATCTTTAACAGGCTTGACATTTTACTGATGTTATTGGAGAGCTTTTTACACGTTTTACTGGCTGCAGGTAATGGCAAACTCTGTGACCAGTTGTCAATCCCATTTCTGACAGCAACGTGCACCTCAGAACTCTCAGCTCTGCTTCTGTGCATTCTGGGGTTCTGCACTTTAAGCACAACTATTTTTAATAAAGGAGGAGACAGATAGCTCATATAAACAGGATCTCATACCCCAGCCTGCCTTCAGCTGCTGAATTAGTGCCTCACCCACAATAAATCATTGATCAGTCAATGTGCACTGATGAATTACAGAGAGAAATCCAGGGAAAAGAAGGGAAAAGCTGCTCATCATTGAAATTGGCTGAGGCACAGAACTCTCACCAGTTCCCAAATCCACAGTCCATCACAGCTTCCAGGAGAGACATCTCCTCCTGGGCTGTCCAGTTGGGGTCCAGCACAGGGAAGTCAGATGTCTGGGGAAGAAAAGAGAACAAACTGTGATCCTGTGTTCCAGAAAGGGCAAAGAAGTTCTGAACCACAGATAGAGATAATTCTGGTAGCTTTAAACTGCCACAAAACCTGACTGAATAATTATTGGATTACTCAGGGCATCAACCACGGCAAATCCTGGAACATGCTGTGTCTCCCAGCTGTAATTGCACCATGTTGTACCATGAAACACAGAAAAATTACTAGAGACTTTAGGAATTATTAATTTGGAGGAGGAAGAAACAGCCTGGAGAAAGAGAAGCCAATGTGCCTGGTTAAGGGACTGTGAGGTGCATTGTGCTACACAAGCACAACAAAATGATGCAGCTGGAAATTACTCCACTACTCCACTCTGTTCCAGGTGGATATTTTTCTTTTTTTAATAGTTTAAAACCTCCGAATCAAAGAATTGCATCTTCTTTCAGTGCAACATGAGAAAGCAAGGGGAGCTGCGAGAGCCCAGAGTGAGCAGTGCTATCCAAAAGGAATATTTACCATTATCTCATAGGTGTGATCACTTTGGTGCTTCTTGTACTCAAATCCTCGGGTGAAACACTGCGGAACAAAAGACCACAACTGTGTTACTTGTGCCCTGAAAGGATTTCCACTGGTCCCTTTCTTAACTCCCATTCTCTGCGCATGTCTCAGTGCTCCCCTTTGTCACTGCTCTGTCCCTGGAGGGAGCAGGGGTGGCAGTGGCAGCCCGTCGTGGCCCTGGTGGCCCTGTCAGGGCAGTGGCAGCTGCTGGCACTCACCTGCAGGCACAGCAGGAAGGGAGGGGGCCCACACTCAGCACACTTCACGTAGGGCTCCGTCAGGTACGAGGAGCAGCCCCGGCACGGGGGCTTGTCAAAAGGGTCACCTGGGGAAGGAGAGGGAATCTCCTGTCACACAGGCACTGTCACACCAGCAAGCACAGCCCCTCAGTCCCCTGGGCCTGGCCCCTGCAGCTGAGGGTTCATCCCAGCTCAGGATGATGCTATGGATTTTGAATGAGCTCAACTGCGCAACAAAATTAATGGGGCTGTCAGGTTATAATGGCTTCAAACTCAGAGAGAGCAGGGTTAGATTGGAGAATTGGGAGGAAATCCTTCCCTGGGAGGGCGGGCAGGCCCTGGCACAGCTGTGGCTGCCCCTGGCACAGCTGACACTGGCCCTGGCAGGTTGAATGGAGCTTGGAGCAGCAGGGACAGTGGCAGGTGTCCCTGCCCATGGCAGAGGGTGTAATTGGATGGGCTTTAAGGTTTCTTCCAACCCAAACCAGTCTGGGATTCCGTGATCCTGACTATTCCCAAGGAAATGGATTTGAACCAGGTCAATTATAAGCAGAGAAAAATCAGACAAAACTCACACTGCATCATTTGTGCGAGCACTAAAGCACATCCCCAAAGTGCCACGCTTACACATTTTTGAGCACTTTTGGGGATGGTGACTCCAAAATCCCACTGCTCCAAGGAATGCCTGTACCATCAGGTTTTTCCTGAGCAGATTTCTGTGGTGGCACTTACTGCTGAAAGAGGCCAGGCGCTCCATCCCTGCCCTGCTGCTGGCTGTGCTCCTTGGGGTGAACCTGGCTGGCCCAAGCACCCACAGTGTGAGCCTGTCCCAAACTGCGGATCCCAAAGGGAATTTTAGGATCCCTCGTGGTGTGATCCTCCCAGGGTGTCCTGAGCAGCAGGCAGAAGGGCTTCAGCAGCCTTCAGACCCCATTCCACACGGATCAGAGCCCCCTCTCTGGCTGTGGGGAGAAATCCAGCACGGAGATATGCTGGGTGATGGGGATTGCAGCCCCAAAGGGAGGGTTCAGGGGAATGTCATGAAGGAAGGAGAGAGTTATGGTATTCAGGGAGAGTTGTGCAAGGAAGCGCTCTGCATCTCCCAGAAGCACTTCCCATATCCGACTGCCCCTATTGGTTGTGTAGGAATCCCAATTCCTACTCCCCATATCCCACTCCCCCACATCCCAATTCCCATATCCCATATCCCAATTCCTGCTCCCCATATTCCACTCCCCACATTCCAGTTCCCGTTCTCAATCCCCACTCCTCCATATCGCACTCCCCATATCCCAATTCCCAATCCCCCATATATTCCCATCCCTATTCCCAATCCCATTCCCATTCCCATATTCCCATCTCCATCCCCATATCCCCATATCCCCATCCCCATATTCCCATATCCCCATCCCCATATTCCCATATCCCCATACCCCCATATCCCCATTCCCATATCCCCATACCTCCATATTCCCAATCCCATATCCCCATTTCCCATATTCCCAATCCCATATCCCCACATCGCCAATCCGATTCCCATATCCCCATACCTCCATATTCCCAATCCCATATCCCCATTTTCCATATTCCCAATCCCATATCCCCACATCGCCAATCCGATTCCCATATCCCCATACCCCCATCCCCCCCGCCCCCTCTCCCCATCACCGCCAGGCGGCGCCCTCGCCAGGCCCCGCCCCCTCGGTGGCCCCGCCCCCTCCGGCCCCGCCGCGGCCCGCGAGGCTCCGTGAGAGGCGCGCGCGCTCCCGCCGCCGCGCTCCCCGCGCCCGCCGCCGCCCGAACCGCGCTCTCCGCGCTCCCCTCCGGCCCTGCCCGGAGCCGGTGCGGCCCGCCGGGGGCGGCGGGGGGAGCCGGGGCCGCCGGGGCCGCCTCTCACCTCGCTCGGGGCGGCGGGTCGGGCCCGCGCGCGTGCCCGGCCGTGCGCACGCGCCGGGGCGGATGCGCGCGCCCCCTGGCGGAACCCGGCGCGCGCCACAAGCCCCGCCCCGCCCCGCCCCTCACGGGGCCTGAGGGAGCCGGGCCCGGCCGGAACAGCGGGACCAGGACAGCGGGAGCGGGGCAGGGCAGGGACCGGGACAGCGGGAGGGGGACAGCGGGACCCGGGCTGGGGAGGGACCGGGATCACACTGAGGTACACAGGCCGTGCCAGCCTCGTGTCCCGCGGGGAACAGCCCCGGGCCCCTCTGCCTGCCCGGGAGAGCCCCGCGCTTCTCCCACGGTTACCGGAGCAGCTCCCCCGGTCCTGATGGTGTTCGACCTCCATCCCGGCAGCTCTAGAGGTGGGAAGGGGTGGATTTTATGGGAAAGGGCTCCCGTGGCACTGTGAATGGCCTTGTGAAGCAGGGGCGGGAGGAGCTGGCCCTGTAGGGAATTAGAACAGAGAGTCCCGGGGCACTTTGGGTGGATGAACCTTCAGGATCACCCAGTGCCACCCTGCCATGGCAGGGACACCTTCCACTGGCCCAGGTGCTCCAAACCCATCCAGCCTGGCCTGGGACACTGCCAGGGATGTGGAGCCTGTGCCAAGGCCTGCCCACCCTCACAGGGCAGAGCTCCTTCCCAATATTCCATCTAACCCTGCCCTCTGGCAGTCTGAGCCATTCCTCCCTGTCCCTCTCTGCTCCTTGTCTGAACTATTTACCAACAAGACTAAAAACGCTGGCAACTATTTCCTTTTCCTTTTGCGTGTGAAAAATTATGGGAAAAAATTCAGAATTTGGGAGAGGCAAAGTGCGGAATGTCAACGAAATATTTATTGCTTCTGCTAACAGGTTTTTCCTGCATCTGGGAGTCAGGACTCTGTGTGGTTAAGGGAAGGAATCAGCATGTGGGGATCTGGTTCCTGCTGTTCCCAGGAAAGGTGATGCATCTGCAAGATAAAAATGCTGTCCTGAAGCCTGCAGATGTTTCAGTGCTGAGGGTCTTCCTGTTATGCCTCTGGCATGGGAACGAAAAAAATATTCATAAGGAATATTAAAAATCTGTGGAGTCTTAGGGGTTTATCCAAATGGTCTCAGCTCAACTCCCAACCTCTTTGTCCCTCCAGCTGCACTCCAGGAAGATCCAGCTGGATACTCTGGGATGAATTCAGTGCTCACACGCTGCTACCTGGAGGTTTTAGTGAGTGAGGTCACTTTCATTTGCTATTTGGAATTATTTGCTGATAATTTGTGCTCCCCTGCAGCCCAGTGCAGGAGTGCAGGCCGAGCCCCAGGTGAAACACAACACTTTTGTGGTTCAAACCCAGAGGCCACACACACAGAAATCAGGGGGAGCATTGTCAGGCCTCTCTCTCCCTGCTCTCGGAGGGATTTCTCGGCGCCGTTGGGAGGAGTTTTTGTGGCGTTTTCTGCCTCGGACACACGGTGGCGATGGAAATCACCTTTTCCTGCAGAGCTTCGGTCTTTGGACTGCTCGCTAACCACACGTGTGTGTGTCCCAGCATGGAAGGATGAAATATTTCTGTTCAATCCCAAATAAACGCTGACGTTTCAATTGGCCGCGGATCCAGAGAATCCAGAACACTTTCTCGTAAGCATTGATATTATTTAAATTCAGATGTTTGTGTTAAAAACAAGAGCCAGTGGAGGGCTGGTGTTTGGCTTTAAAGGGTGATCTGACCTTTCTCTCTGTTCCTTGGTGCCAGGCTGGCAGTGTCACCGACCCTCACCCGGGCTGATCTGCTGTGTTTGCACTGGGGCTGTCACCAGAGCCTGGTCAGGAGAGGTGGGACCAGCACTTGGCGTCACCAGAGGTAAAAACATTTCCCCCGTGTGTTTTGGAGTTTGGTAACTCAGGCTGAACTTCCTTTTTTTGAGAGAGCAGCGTGGCATGAGTTCCCAGTGCACGTGCTTGGAATCATGGATGAGAGTCAATAACTGTGGCCAGTTTTGGAGCAGGACAGGGAGAGGTGTCAGGTGCATTTACCACCCCTCCTGCAAAGCAGAACACGGTTATGATTCAAACATTTAAAAGAAACCCATTGCAAAGTGTGTGTGTGAACCCTGTGAAACAATTGAAACACAGATTATTCCTGCCCAGACTTGAATCCCAGGATTGTTATGTTGGAAAAGACCTGGATTGTTATGTGGAAAAGACCACATCCAGGCATGGGGACCCCTCCACTGTCTCCACTTGAATTTCATGGAATCTCCTGAGTTGGAAGGGCCCCACAAGGATCAGCCTCACTGTCCCCAGCTGATCATTGCAGTGCCCTCAGCCTCTCCTCACATGCCTTTTCCTCCAGACCCCCCACCATCTTCATAGCCCAAAAAATAACAATTTTTTAATTTTATTTCCTTCCAAATCCAAATCCACGCTGGGTTTTTAAGGCTAATGTCTTTAACTCTCTCTTTTCCACGTGTTCGTGTCTCTGTGTGCCCTTGACTGGAGGAGTTGCTGCAGATTTCAGAGAGTGAGGCAATCCCTCCCCAGCAGTGTTTGGACAGCGTTTGGAGCTGGCTGGATGTGCTGGGCTGGGCAGGCAGAGTGCAGGTGCAGGTTTTAGCAGGCCTGGAGCTCTGGGAGCAGCAGCCAGGATGAACTCAGAGCCTGATGTAATCTCTGGTTTGGTAAGTTCTGTATGTGGTTATTATCAGTGATTTGGGACCAGCCCCTCAGCAAGCCAAGCACTCCCCCTCACTCCTGCAGCACTTGGGATTTAGCACTGAGAGGATTAACCAACACCAAACCCTTCTCTTCATCTCCTCCATGGAATAATTACTGAGGGAGGATTCTTTGTGTGAAGGACACATCTATAGCTATGCATTTATGTCTACAGAGGTATAAATAAAACTGTCCATGCACAGATTTCCCAGATTTAGTCCAGTGGATGTGAGAATATGCTCTGTTCTCCCAATAATTTTATTAACTCCAAAGCCCCAAATTGTATTTTCTGGGTATTTCGTGCCTGCAGTGGGCACCTATTCCATGATGTGCAGTTTCCTGCAGTCTCACACCTGCTAACCACCGCCTTGGTGGGAATGATCTGTATTTGGGAGCAGTGGATCCCACTTTGTGCAGATCCTGGGGCACCTCCAGCAGGATCAGCCTGCACAGCTCACCAGATCCAGCAGCATTAGCATCTAAACTCATGTTACTTCTTCCATTTGAATTTCAGCAACCCTGTAACAGCGCAGACTTCAAATAAAACACAAAATGTGAAAAGAAGGAGGAGGAAGAGTTCTTTAAACCATTGTCTGTCAGCAGAACAAGCAGCTGAAGGTCAGAGCCAGGCAGGAGAGGCGCTGGCAGTGCCTGGCCCTGCTTGGCCGTGCCCTCAGCACCTGTTATCAGCCCTGTCCCCCTGCCTGTGCCAAGGCGGGGACAGGGCAGCGTCCCCGAGCCACGCGGGCCCCTCGTGCGCAGGGACAGCCTGGGGACTGCTGCTGCCACCCACGGTCATGGGGGCACCTGGTCCCTCTCTCTCTACTGCAGGAGGGGCACAGCAGAGCACAGGGACAGCCTGGGGACTGCTGCTGCCACCCACACTCATGGGGCACCTGGTGCTGTCCCTGCTGCAGGAGGGGCACAGCGGAGCACACAGCACAGGGCTGCTCCAGACCATGCTGGAGTATCTGAGTATCTCCATTCAGGACACTCACACCCTGCCCAGTCTCTGTTCCTGCACACCATCACCTGCATAGGAAAGAAGTTTTTCCACGTGCTCAGGTGGAGCTTTGTGTGCATCAGTCCCTGCCCGTGTTCCCTTGTGCTGTTGCTGGGCACCACCGAGAGGAACCTTCTCCAGCTTGGCCCCCACCGTGGACACTGATGGGCACTGGCGAGGTCCCTTTGGTCACCTCGT